CAGGCCTCCAGCCACTTCGGATGCCACTTCAGAAGTGGCGGTCCAGGGGCCTGCTGGTCATGAGCCGCAGCAGCCATTCGACTCGCTTCCTGGGCCACGGGCATCGATAATAGTGGTCCGCGCGTTGCCCAGAGTGGGTGTGCCACTTTCAAGTCTAGAAGCACCTCGTGCACCCTCCGGAAAGAGCCTAAGGAGAGCAGTGCCCAGACCTGGGGAGTTCAAGGCCGTAGGGTTGGTGGGGTGCTCGGGTTGCTGGTCAGGGTCCGACCACACAGAAGAGAGTCCCGGGAGCCCGGCTCTAAGCACGGCTTGAGACTCTAGGAAGGACCGCTAACAAGGGCGCAGACCCGAGGTCCACTACCGGGTAGAGGCCTGGACCGACTCTTTCTCTCCCAGGATGGACCCCTCACTGTGTGTTACCTGCGGAGACCTCAAGTGCGCGGGATGCAGCCACCATCCGCGCTTGCAGAGTTTCCTCCGCTGAGGGAGCCCGGGAGCACAATCCACCTCCATTCTAAGCCCGCTTGTATTTCAATTTATTCTATTGGGCTTTGGCCATGCCCAGGGCCTGGTCAGAGAAAGGACAAGCTCTTTTGCTGGGGACCCAGGTAAACGTGGCACTGGGGAGTAGTTCATTCAGAGCGAGCCCCGCTCCTTCCTGCGGGCCGAGCCTATCCAGGCAACCAAATTTCAGGGCTAGTTTAAGACCCAAAGCAATGACAACCATTGACCCCCCCCCCCCCCCCCCCCCCCCCGCTGCATACCTACCTCAACTTCTCTGGCAACTCCAGAACTGTAGAGTTGGTATTTTCCTATTTCCAGAAATAGGAAATGAGTTCCGATTTCTTACTCGCTGTGACCCATGGGGGAGAGGTCTCAATGTGCCCACATCTTAACACTTGGGGAGATCGGTGGAGGACAACCTAGCTAGAACAGGAGAGAGAATTTTCAAATAGAACAGATGGTACTTTGCCAATTTACATCTTACTTAAATTGCTACTAAAGCTCTATGATATTGAACCCAAGTTTACCATCAGATTTTGTTGGCTTCCGCTTATGCACTGCCTGGCATTAATGAGAAGGCCATACAGCTCATTAGCCCTATTTGAGAGTATATAAGATGGATGTAAAGAATTACAGATGAAAGGACAGATGAATTTTTAATACACTGGGTATTTATTGACCTATTGCTTTTCAAAAAAAAAAATTTTCCCTGGAACATTTGGAGGGGGGCTACTTGATTGGATGCTAAAATTGAGAACAATTTTTGTCCTAGATTTCAGTTGTTACTTTACTGTAAAACATTATATTTAAAAATAAATTGGTTTTAATTTATACTCCAACCAGGTGGACTCGGTTGTTCTATGGGATTTTACATAACACACCCTGCAGTATTAAAGAGATCCTCAAGCTTGAATGTATAAAAGAGTCACTTTGAGATCTTATTGTTGTGGTTGTTAACTTTATTTTTTTTTAAAAATTGTTTCACCCTGGCTGGTGTGGCTGAGGGAATTGAGTACTGGCCAGCAAACCAAAGGGTCGCTGGTTCGATTCCCAATCAGGGTACATGCCTGCGTTGCAGGCCAACTCCCCAGTGAGGGGCACATGAGAGGCAACCACACATTGATGTTTCTTTTTTTTCATATATTTTATTGATTATGCCATCACAGTTGTTCTATTTCCCCCCTTCATTCCCCTCCACCCTGCATACCCCTCCCCCACCATTCCCCCCTTTAGTTTATGACCACGTGTCTCAAGTTCTTTAGATTCTATATTTCCCATACTATTCTTGCCCTCCCCCATCCATTTTCTACCTACCGTCTATGCTACTTATTTTCTGTACCTTCTCCACCCTTCTCCTTCTCCCACTCCCCTGTTGCTAACCCTCCATGTGATCTTCATTTCTATGGTTCTGCTCCTGATCTAGCTGTCCTCTTAGTTTGCTTTTGTTTTAGGTGTGCTTCTTAATAACTGAGTTTGCTGTCCTTTCACTGTTCATCTTTTTTATCTTCTTTTTCTCAGGTAAGTCCCTTTAACATTTCATATAATAAGGGCTTGATGATGAACTCCTTGAATTTGATCTTATCTGAGAAGCACTTTATCTGCCCTTCCACTCTAAATGAAAGCTTTGCTGGATAGATCAATCTTGGATGTAGATCTTTGGATTTCATGACTTGGAATACTTCTTTCCAGCCCCTTCTTGACTGTAAGGTCTCTTTTGAGAAATCCGCTGACAGTCTGATGGGAACTCCTTTGTAGGTGACTGTCCCCTTATCTCTTGCTGCTTCTAGGATTCTCTCCTTCATTTTAATCTTGGCTAATGTAATGATGATGTGCCTTGGTGTGTTCCTTCTTGGGTCCAACTTCTTTGGGACTCTCTGAGCTTCCTGGATTTCCTGGAAGTCTATTTTCTTTGCCAGATTGGGGAAGTTCTCCTTTATTATTTGTTCAAATAAGTTTTGCACTGGTGGCTGTTCCTCTTCCCCTTCTGGTACCCCTATAATTTGGATGTTGGAGTGTTTAAAGATGCCCTGGAGGTTCCTAAGTCTCTCCTCATTTTTTTGAATTCTTGTTTCTTCATCCTTTTCTGTTTGGTCATTTTTTTTCTTCCTTCTGGTCCACTCCCTTGATTTGAGTCCCAGTTTCCTTTCCATTACTATTGGTTTCCTGTGCCTTTCCCTTCATTTCAATTAGTTTAGCCTTCATATGTTCCTCTAATTTGTGACTAAAATCAACCAGTTCTGTGAGCATCCTGATCACCAGTGTTTTGAACTGCGCATCTGAAAGTTTGGCTATTTCTTCATTGCTTAGAGTTATGGGCTCTGGGGCTTTGAGCTCTTCTTGAGCCATAATGTTTTGTTCTGTCTGAGCCTGTTAAGTTTGAGGAGCAGAGCCTTAGGTGTTCACCAGGGTAGGGCCACCCAGGTTGCTGGTTTGTGACGCTGTATGTGGGGGCGGGGTCAGAGAGGGACAATGGCGGTCCCCTCTGCTGTTTTCCGTCGCTGGGGCCTGTGCGGTCATCTCACTTCTTGCTCCTTCGCCAGATTAATATGTGCACAAATGCGTGACTGAGGTCAGCCCTCAGTGGGTCGCCCGCTGCTACTCCACACCTGGGATCCGCCCACAGGTGCCTGCGCACTGGGTCGAGTGCCCCGGTGGGTTCGGTGGATCTTTCCTGCCGGACCCCTGCTCCGTTGCTGGCTTCGCCCCTCTTACTGGTCTGGCTGGGTCTGGCTGAAAGGTTGTTGTTGTCAGATGTCCATGTAGTTCAATTTTCTGTGGTTTGGCTGCATTTTTGTTGCTAAAACTTTGTTGTTTTTAAACTTGGTTGTGTGAGAAGGCACAGGGTTTCCACCTATGCCTCCATCTTGTCGGAAGTCCACACATTGATGTTTCTTTTCCTCTCTTTCTCCATCCCTTCCCCTCTCTCTAAAAAAATAAATAAATAAAATATTTTTAAGAATTATTTCAATCATATTCAATATTATTTTGTATTAGTTTCAAGTCTACAGCGTAGTGGTTAGATGATCATAGATTGTACTTTACAAAGTGATCCCCCTGATATTTCCCGTACCCATCTGGCACCATACATAGTTATTACAATATTATTGACTATGTTTCCTATGCTGTACTTTACATCCTTGGGGATCCAGTTAAATGCAGGTTCAGTGGGTCTGGAACAAACCTAAAATTCTTCATTTTTAACAATTTCCCAGGTGATGCTGTTGCTGCAAGTTAGTGGACCAAATTTTGGGCAGAAAGATTATAGATACCTCAACTATCTACCTAAGACCACATCTAGATATAAAACTCAGAAGATAGAAAAGTTTAAAAGAATTACCAAATGTTTTAATTTGTGCTCTTTCAAGCTCTGAATAAAAACATGTGATGTTTTTTAAAGTCTCGGTCTCTATACCTTTTCAGCATGAGGGAATCCCTTAAATAGCCTGCTGACCGGTGTGGCTCAGTTGGTTGAGCATCCTGCCCGGAAAGCAAAAGGTCACCAGTTCAATTCCCAGTCAGGGCACATGTCTGGGTGGGGTTGGGGAGTGGTTGGTCCCTGGTCTGGGTGCACAGGAGAGGCAACCAATCAATGTTTCTCTCTCATGTCAATGTTTCTGTTCCATCTTTTTCCCTCCCTTTCCCTCTCTCTAAAACAAAATTAATAAAAATAAGTGGCCTGCCTTACCCCTGACCCAACCAAGTCCCTCCTCCCTCCCAATCCCCTGGAAAAAGGGGAGCTATTCATCGCCATTAGGCAATTGCCATTCAAGGATGTGAGCCCCAGAACTGCAGACGTTCTAATTTTTTTTTGTATGAAATCTCCCATTTTTACAATGTTGGCACCTGATTCAAAAATTAAATGAAAAATCGGTGGGTACAACAAAAACACATCTGCGGGCATCAGCAGGCCTGTGGAAACCAGTCAGCAACTCCAGAGAGCGTTATGCCTTCCAGGTCCGTCTGATCCTCGGCCTCCAGGGAAACGGTCTGCTCCAGAGGGGTTGCGAAGCCTCAGATCTAATCTCTCACCACTTTCTCTCCATCTCAGACGCTCGCCTTCCTTCAGAGGTACATAACCTCCTTGGCTTCCATCTTATCCTCTGTCAGTTCTAAGTTGGTATACAGGCATAAGGCAATTCCTATCAAAATGCCAGCAAGATTTTTTTGTAGAAACAGACTAGATTATTGTATTTTATATATTTTTAGACTACACTATTTTAAAATTTATATGAAAATGGTAAGGAACTAGAATAGCTAAAACACCTTTGAAAAGGAACAGTCTCCTAAATTTAATTATTATTATAGCTATAGTGATCAAGACTGTATGGTATTAGCAGATTAAATGTAAAATGTATAGCTAGAAAGCCTTTAGAGAAAAACACAGGAGTAACATGCATAGAACTGCAAGTATCCTCTATGTCAACTAAGGAACAATAATATCATCCTATGTAATTTTGGTATAAGAAACAGATTTCAGACTAGAGATATTCGTGGAGATGCTTCCTGGATTGGATTCTTCTCGGTATTGCTATGTTAGTGACTGTAAGTTCTGGGGGAGACAGCTCTAGAGCCCAGATCCTTGGGTTAAAGTTATATATTCACCTGATTCTTCTGCCTACCCATGGAAGTTTGTAAGTCCATCCAATGACCTTTTGAATTGATTTTGCCCTTCTGTGGCTCTTAATTCATATTCTGCTTAGGTCTTAAGACTTGGACCCTGTCAGACACCTGAAAACTTCTCATGCACTTCACTGGCCAACAGAACTGCCGTGGAGGACACAAGGATGAGCCTGAGTGAATCCTGGGGATCTCACCTCCCTGGGTCTGGGCATGACATCCTAACTACTGACATGAGCACTATATGGCTTCATCTTCCTGAGTAATAAGTAATTACTTAATAAGTAATACTTAAGCTTGACAGAAAAAAGTCAAGAAATGGAAATATAATTGTGTTAGAGAATTAAGGCATCAGAAATTTCAAGGGACTCCTCTCTAATGTCCAGACTACAAGGACCACCTGCTGTTAGCTGTGCTCACCTGTCTCTGACAGGTTAAGGAAGAAGCTGGGATTGTGGTGGCCTCTGGTGAGGGAACTCACTGGCCAGGGTTCAGGAAGAATTGGGGAACTTTATTTAGCCCTTGAGAGCCTTTCTTACTCCTTGGGTGTGTGTGTGTGTGTGTGTGTGTGTGTGTGTGTGTGTGTGTGTGTGTGTGTGTGTGTGTGTTTAACTGGGTTTTCCATGAGAAAGTTATTCCAACCGTTCAGCAATGCTGAAACAGCCCCCTTAGAACTGAAAATCACCCAGGCTCCCGAATATATATATCAGTTTCCTTCTCTGCAGATATTTTCCCGCTGTTGGATCTTCCCCACCCGGTGGAGCTCCGCCTCTCCCTCCCAGAAGGCTGGGGAAAGGGCGGGTCCGCACGGAACCACCGGGGCACGAGCGCGTCTGCACGTGTGCGATCTCGGAGAGAAGCCGGGCTGCAGAGTTTGGGAGGCAAGGCCTGGAATACAATAAGGAGGGTGCGGGCGGGGAGGGGCTTGCCCCAGGCCCTTGAAATAAGGCTCAGGCCTGAGAGCAGCTGCTGCAGCCGGATCCACCCGCGACCGCCGGCTTGCGTCCACAGCCCTGTTACCCGCGAGGCTCGCCGCGGCATGGCCATCCCCAAGCGGTTTCCAACCCTGGTGCAGCTGGAGCAGCGGGGAGAGACGCGATTCCAGGCGCTCAGTGACATCACCAAGCGGCCCTACTGGCTCCAGTCCGAGCACCTTCTGAGTCCGAAGCCAGTTCGTCTCGAAGCGTGGCTGGTGGAAGCGATCTTTGGTGAGTGGCCGAGAGGGGAAGCCAGTGCGGCTTCCTTCCCCGACTCCTACCAGCCTCGTCCCCCAGGCTGAGCCTCGTCCCCCAGGCTGAGCCTCGCAGGGCCAGCCTCCCCCGTGGCCCCGGCCGCACTCCAGTGGCACCGCCGCCTCCCGCTCCAGTTGCTCTCCTTTCCCGCGTCCCACCCTCACGGCCTCTCTCCCTCCCGTGCAGGCCCCGGCGGAGAGCACATCCCGCACGTCGAGTGCGTGTCGCAGACCCTGCTTCGCATTAATCGGTGGGACCCTGAAGGCGAGGCCGAGATCTTGATATTTGGTCGGCCTTCTTATCAGAAGGACGTGTCCCAGATGATCATGAACTTGGCTTACTACCACCGCCAACTCCGGGCGCAAAGTACGGGACCGGGAAGAGTGAGGGGAACCCCGGCGAGATCGTGGGGGCCGTGGGAGGGACCCTGGTGCTTCCCGGGTGGGCCCGGGCAGCGGTGTCAACCTTGGTCCTCTGGGCCTGGGTCTCCTCTTCACGGGGGGTCTAAGAAGGCCCGACGGACCCCGTGCTGCCAGGTTCCGGGCCGCACCCCTCAGCCCGCAGGGTGACTCCCAGTGTGGAGGGAGTTACGGGGACACAGCTGCGGTCTCCTCACGCTGCTTTGCTTCCAGGCTCAGGGAGGACCGCTGCTCAGAAGACCGAGACCCAGCGCACCCCCGCTGCTGTTCCGGAGGCGGCGGCGCAGAGCTTCCCCGGGCGCTACCCCGTTTGAAGTTATTTCGGGGCCCGGGGTGAAAGCCAAGCGAGGTTCAAAGAGAAATCCCTATCCAGAAGATGTGAGTTGCTCTTAGTTTCCCCTCCTCATGTTCCCCCCGGGTTAAATGTTTGCAAACACCAGTTTAAAAAGGCCTAACAAAGACTAGAACTTCCCTAATCAAGAATCGAACTTCCCTAATCAAGAATCGATCTTCCCTAATAAAGAATAGAACTTCCCTACAGTCTGTTGATTGGCAGATAGCGGGGGAGGGAATAAGGTTTCCAGCCGCCAACATCTGCTCTAGTCTGCCTTGCATCCACCAGCAGGTGAGACCTGTTGGGTTTCTGGCCTCCAGAAGCCGCAGCCTTCCCTGGCAGGTGCTTCCTTGGAGCTCCTTAACTGCACACACCTGGCACTGCCAGGCGAGGGGCCGCTCTGCCCGTGGAGCCTGTCCTCACCGGGAAACCTCTCCGAACCTGCGGTGTTTTTATTCAAAGAGACAAGGATTCGAACACTTGGTTCCAACCGGGCGGGCTGGGTGTCCTGTGCCGCGCTGCAAGCTGCGACTTCCCAGCTGGGGCAAGCGTGGGTCAGGGGCGGAGGAGCTGGGAGGGAGGGCCCGGACTGCCCTGCGGTCTTCCTCGGGTCTTGCCGGGTTCATCCGGCCTTCAGTGAGGTTTGACTCGAGCGAGGCGTCAGCGGTGCTAGTGACTCATAAACGCAGCGACCAGCTGCTGCAGGGCACTCGGTCACTTTAAAATTTGACTTAGTGTAAATTTAAGGTATTTAAACACGTTAATTCGATACATTTACATATTATATAATGTCATTTAGTGATAATTAGCACCGCCTTCAGGTTTGGCTTCCGAGCTCCAGGGGGCTTGGACCCAGGTGCCTGCCAGAAGAAGGAAGCAAACTGTTAACAGTTGGGTGCTCAGGTTAGAAACCAATAAAGCAAGGCCGATCTTAGTGTTAGAAAACTACATTTTAGAAACTCAAGGGAACCTACCTTTAAAGACCAGGAGGGTGGTACTTCTATGCCAGACCCTTTGGTTACCACTAATAGAAGACCACTGTGATTTTAAATAAGCATTTATCTTATAGTAAGAATAAAGATACGAAGCAGAATTTACAATAGGTTATTAACTATTTTTTAGAAGAGTGGAGAAAAGCCAAGGCACTTCAAGAACGAATATCAATGCAGACTCAAATTTTGCATTGAAGCTAGAGAGGAAACAAGATTCAATGTTGATCCCCCTGCGCCAAGTAGTACCCACATGACCAGAAAGGCAGATTCTCTCCGTGACTGGGAATATTGCTGAGCAGCAAGTAGCAAGCCAGTGGGAAACATTTAGGAATCTCTGTGACTATTCCAAAACTTTCACAGAAGTCTCCTACACACACATATCTGAAATAATTTTTGGGTGGGGGCTGGTAAGATACAGTAAACCTCCTCGGGTGCAGGTTGGAAAGATCAAGAAAGAAGGAAAGGTTAACTTTAAATAAAAGCATTCAGTTGTGATGAAACAAAATGCTTGGTGCATGTATAGTGTTGTTGTTGTTTTTAAGGTTATTGTAGAGGGGAAGGGAGAGAGAAAGGGAGATGAATACTGATGTGAGAGAGAAACATTGATTAGTTGCCTCTTGTAGGAGACCTAACCCACTACCCGGGCATCTGGCCTGGCCACGAATCTGACCGGCAACCTTTCGCCTTGTGGAAGGACGCCCAGCCAAGTGGGTCACACTGGTCAGGCTGGTGTTGATCCTTTTTTAAAGGTATACTCTTAACACGGCATGAACCAGTTTACCCAAAGTCCCTATATGGTAGACCTCCCTACCTGCTCTCTCAAATGTACTCTTACAAAAAATCACTTTTAACAGTTAACTTGAACTTTCCCACAATTGCAGGTAATTTTTTTTCTCCCAGCAGCTTGATGTCTTCACTATGGGTACACTTTAACCTTTCCCTTACTACTGGTTGATTAGTGTCCCAGATTTCTCAGTTACAAACTGCTGCACTGAATTTCTATTTGCATCTTTGTGTTCATGTTGGAATGAGGTGGGGTAAAAGTAGGTTTACAGTTGTGAATATGTGAAACATAAGGGTTTATTCCTGTATTATTTATTAACAGTATTTTCCATACAAACAACTATAAACATACTTTTGCCCCACCCTGGATTTCTACAGAGAGCTTCCTAGAAGTGAAATTGCTGGGTTAAATAATGAGCACCTCTAAAATTTACTGCCAAACTCTTGTACAAAATGTACAAAATTCCACTACAAAGTATGAAAGCTATTTTCACTATACTCACCAAACTCAATGTCTCCAATACATTTTGTCCATATGTGACTTAAATATTTTTTATTATTTACCCCACCATTTTAACCATGTGGCTTTGTAGAAGGGCAAGCCTAATCTCAAAATTCAAATTGGTAGTCTGGGTCATATCTTTTCCCAAATGAAGCAACTTGTTAAAGTAGTTAGAAAAATGATTGAAGAAAAAGGATAAATGTCTTAAAAAAATACTGGTTTCATTAAAATATACTAGAGTGCTTGTTTTATTCTTTAAACTACATGTGCATTATATGTGCATGGACATGTGTCTTTTGCCAGTTAAAAGATGGTAAATTATATGTGAAGACTGGAAACTGAGGCCCAACACAGTCAATGGAAGATTATCAAGGAACAAGGGCAAAACCTACAGGAGTCTAGAAAACAGTGACTCTTTTCTGAACATTTTTTCAGGTAAAATGACTGATGGCTAATAAAGAAGTCAAAACAGTTTTTGATTAAGCTGACTAGAGGCATCAAAGAAAAAAGTTCATTGTTGACAGAATCTGTAGAAAATTTTGAGGTCAGCCATGGAACACACATGACAGCCAGTCTCAAAGTTTTCCTTCAGTTCCGCCATAAACCAGGTTGGCACCACTTCCCTCATTAGAATTTCTCAGCTCCACACTTTTGATCAAAACAAGACCTTTTAAAATATGACAAAGAATGAGACAAAAATCATGCACCTCCTGATGTGATCCCCTGAGGACACAAGATGATTTGTGTAGTATTTTTGCCAAAAATATATATAACCTAGATCTAAGGGTGAGGAAGGGAAAGAGAAAACTGCACAGCCTGGGAACAGTGAACACTGCTTACACATCTTGGGGGGCAGGGTACACTGGGTGGCAGAAAACAGTTTAGTGTGGACAGTCTGTCTTCGAGTGGGCTTACTAAGGAATACAAATTGAGTCTCTGCAAAACACTGAACATTTAGCCGCACCCTGGCTTAGCTGGTTGGAGCATAGTCCCATATCTGAAGTATTCAATTCCAGGTTGGGGCAGATGCCTGGGTTATGGGTTCAGCCACCAGTCCGGATGCATCTAAGAGGCAACTGATGGATGCTTCTCGAGTCGATGTTTCTGTCTCCGGTCTGCTCTCTAACAGCAATGGAAAAAGTCCTCAGGTGAGGGTAAAATATTTAGCCGCGGAGCAGGTGACAGTCTATCTCTGCTATGTCTGCCTCTGTATTTCTGTTCAGACTTCAGATTTAATAGACATCTATCTGCACTATTTACTTTCCTCAGGATTTTTCACTAGACACCCAGGAAAACCTTCCTTTACAGCCTTCCTGATTCCTTCTGGAGCCCTTGTATCATCAGCTTTTAAAGACTTTCACCTGACAGCGTCACCCCTTTAAAAAGTGATTATGATTAGCCTTGGCTGGTGTGGCTCAGTTGGCTGGAGCCTTGTCCCATGGACCAAAAGTTTGCAGTCAGGGCACCTATCCAGGGTGCAGATTTGATCCCTGGTGGGGTGCATAGAAGAAGGCAGCCATTAATGTTTCTCTCTCTCCACCCCACCCCCTGCCTCTCTCTAAAAGCAATGGGGAAAAAAAGTTCTTGGGTGAGGATTTTTGAAAAAAGTGTTGTGATTATAATTGGAAGTGCATTGAGTTTTTAGATTAATCTAGGAAGAATTGAGCACATCTGTGCAACACTCTACTATCCATTTATTCAGTTTTTCCTTCCCTCCTTCATCCTTTTCATATCCATTCATAGATATTTCAGTCAAATAAAGTTCTATATTTTATCAGAAATAAATTTTCATTGCTCAATTGGTTGAGCATCAGTCAAAAAAGGAAAGGTCACCAAAAGTCCTGGTCATGCCTGGGTTTCAGGTTGGTTCCCTGTAGGCAAGGATGGGAGGCAACTGATTGATGTTTCTCATATTGATGATTGTTTTCCTCTTTCTCTCTCCCTTCTGCTCTTTCTAAAAATAAATAAAATCTTAAAAAATAAATTTTGATTATGCTGAAGTAGGATGTAATGAGGTTTTTATAATCCCTAAGGCAAGTAAGAAAAAAATCACTTAAAAACAGTAATTAAAATGGTACATAAGAGCTCACTCTCCCTCCTGGGGGCGAACAAACCCTCCCTTTCCCTTCCTCCCTTTCTTCCCCCACAGGCATGTGTCTCCTAAACTCTACAGGACCCCATGAGACTTGCAACCCAGGGAGAAATGGGCAACGACAGTTCATCCCAAACTAACCCCTGAACCTGTCCCCAAGGCTCTCCTTCATCCGACTCTGCAGTGAGGTGGCTGCAGCCCTGCCTTGGCTCACTTCTTTACTACAATATTTCTAAACAGCCAGAGCAGCCCTGCCTAGCCTCGCTCGTGTGGCTTCTACCCTGGGCCTCCCTCATCTCGTGGTCCCCAGCTTTAGTAAACATATGTTCAAAAAAAAGGGTACATAAGAATTTAACTTAAAATCATGGAGGGAAAGAACAAAAAAAAAAGATGATAGGAAATAAACAGCAAAACAGCAGACAAATCTAATCATACTGAAAATTACATTACATCTGAATGGACAAAATCTTCAAATCAAAAGGCAGAGATATCCCAACTAGATTTTTTTAAGCCAACTTCAAAAGAATACATTTTATATTACTCTATTTATATTACATGTTCAAACATCATAGGGACAAAAAGCACACTGGCTGCCGGGCGGAGACAGCAGGGGAGATTGACGGCAGTGGGCAGAGAACTTTAGGGAGTGATTCCCAAACTGGTCTGTGGTGACGGTGGCACAGCTCATCAACTTACTAAAACCATCTTTTGAATTATACACTCAAGATTTTATCGAATGTAAATTGTAACCAATTAAGCAGTTCATTTTTTAAAAAATATAGGGATGCTTCACAAGTTTGCACGTCATCCTTGCACGGGGCCCATTGTT